TGTTTCTATTATTTAAACTATTATTCTAATTATTTTGACTATTATTATTATTATTGGTAGATTGTTGAGAGATGTTTATACAAGATATATAAATAGTTAAAATAGTATCATCTTGATATAAAAATTGTAACTACCATCATATATATAGCAAAATTAAAAATAAAAAAATAAAATAGAATAAATTAAAACAAAAATATAAAAATTATAATAGTATATATAATTTGTAAATAAAAATTTATAAAATCTAAATTACTTTTTCTATAAATCTTAATATAAAAAAAAAATAATACTAGCATTTATCCTAATTTTAATTATCAAAAAGTTATTTATAAAATTAAATTTTGCAAGTTTATATTAACTATATATATAATTAAAATTTGGTATCTTATCTAAATTTGTACTGTTATATAGTACTACTATATTAAATATCTTTTAACTTACATTTCTATTTTTTTTTGATGTTAAGATGCTCTTTTAGTCACTTTCTTTTTATTCGATTATTATTTAACTTTTATAGTATAGTATATACTATACTGTATATATATTTAACGAGTACAACTAGCTATATATACAACTTTTGATTGGCTATTTAAATAGTTTGCATATTAGTATTATACTGTAAGAACTATACTAGATACTATACCTATAATCTGATTAGAGGATTATTTATTTAAACTAAAGTAAGAGATATAAGAACACAGAAATGCCTCATAGACATGCTCTTTAGACATGCTTACAGGTATGAATTTTTTTATATACTCATATAGGCATCTATATATAGTTAAATTTTTAACTAATCAAATAATATTTTAAGTCAATTAAATTTATGCATTATATTAAGTTCAAATCTTCTAACAAATTGAATCAATTTAGAATTTTATTATATATTAAATATATATATATACTATTCTTTATTATTTGTTTTTATTATATTAAATATGATTTAAATATATTGATTATTTTATAAATAAAGATATTTTTTATTTGTTTAATTTTTTTAGATTATACAAAGTTAATTTTTTAGTTTTTATAAGATAAAATTTGAAAAATTACCTAGCAATCTGGCTTTTAATTTTATTTTCAATAAAATTTATATATAAAAAGCATATAAAAATTTTTATAAACTATAAAAAACTTTACTCAGCTCAAGCAAATAATATTAACAACCAAAAAAATCTAAATATAGTAGCTAACTATCTAAAGAAACAGCCTTCACTTAATTTAATTATATTAAAACAGCTTTTACTAATTGAAATAATCATTTTACTATTTATAATATAAACTAAGAACTGGAAACTAGTATAAATTCAGAGCTTATAACAGCATTTAATTAATGCTATAACCTCTGAAAAATCTGATTATGTATATCACAGATCAAAATTTTTAGAGGCATTACAAATGGAAAATGCTAAAACTACATTTTTGATTTTATTATAGATGCATCAAAATTATAGTTTTAGTCATCAAAGCACATAAATATATAAGTTCTCTGCTTCACTCTGAATAATTAATCATTTAAATATCAATTCGAAAAATAATTCAGAAGTTTACACCAAATTACTCAATAGTTTTATGCTTTAAAGAACAAAAAGTAAAAACTTGGTGAAACTATTGAATTATATTTCTTTATATTAGAAAAATTATGATAAAAAGTAGATCCAAATAATAGATATCTTGACAAGAATAGAAAAAACAATTTATAGATGTTTATATTCTGAATTCTATATTCTAGTTGAATTTGCTATATCAGAAGACCTATCTGAGACTGTTGAAAAAGCTAAAGCTATAGAAGTAACCTATTCAAAAGACAATACTCTCTTAGTCTATTCATTATTGCTTGCCTTATATCAGTTACAATTTTTCAATAATATTGCTTTTACTTCTAAAACAAATATTAAAGCTTTAATAGCTGCTCAAACCAAGGAGTTTTTGACTAAAACTATTAAATAATTAAAGCCTATTAATGCAAACATCTCTCAACAATCTACCAATAATAATAATAATAGTCAAAATAATTAGAATAATAGTTTAAATAATAGAAACAATCAACAAAATAATAGTAATAATTGACAACAAAGTAATAACAAACCAAAAAATAATAATAACAATAATGCTTGCCACTATTGTCAACATCCTAAACATTTTGCATATGAATATCAAACTCCTACTAGTAATAATTGTAATAGAGTTAGCTATATAGCAAGAAACCACTAAATAAACAAAAACTAAAGAAACAACAATAACAATTATCAATCTAACAGAAATTTTAACAATAATTATCAAAACTAAAATAATAACAGACCTCCTAACTACAACAACATTGATAATTTCAGACCATCTAACAATAATAATAATCAACAAATGAATCTTCTAAACAACAACAATAATAACAACAATCTACAACTTGGAAATAATAACAATAATCAAAAGCAAAATTTCTTAAATTATTATAAAAATTATATCAATACCCAGAATAATAATGATAATAGTTTTGCCAATAAGAAGATAAACTTTTTAAACTAGAAAAGACATCTCTTGAAGGTAAACATGTTAGTAAATTAAAGCTCTCACCAATAGAACAATTACAAAATCTAAAAATAAAAAATATTAATTATTATAATAGTTTTCACGATGATAATAAAAACAATATAATTAATAAAAACAATATAAATATTAGAACTAATAACCTTAATGAAGAAAATGATATTAATAATATCTGGTTAGAAGATGATAATGATGATGAAATTATTGAAATTAGAGGATGATAATGATGATGAAATTATTGAAATTAGAGGATGATAATGATGAAATTATTGAAATTAGAGGATTAAACCATAGCTTAAAACAAGAAGAATCAAAAGATATTGTACAAGATGCTCTATTCTCCACTACTCAAATCTTTGGCCATAAAGTTAATGTCCTTATTGACACTGGGTCAAAAGGATGTGTAATTGCAAAACAATTTCTGGATAAAATAGAAAACCAATATAGTAGATGGTAATAACTTGAGGCTATGATATAGTAATATTACTGATACAACTTTCTAGTATAAAATAATTTCTTAACCAGTAAACAGATTACATCTAAACATCTTTGAAACAACCAGGATATCAAACTTGTAAATTAAATAACTACTTTTATAAATTAATATATAATTCTTTTAATAAAGTATCGGTGGACAAAAAAAATAAATAAAATATCTTTAAATCTTATTTATTTTTACGATAATTTATTAATGATAACCAATTTCATTTAATTTTATCAATTTATTCGACACAATGATTTCCTAAGTATGATTCGTTAGTATTGAATGTGCTTTCGAATATCTTCTGAAATTACTCAATTACTTATTTAACCAAATCTTCATTAATGAGACATCATTGTGTAAACGAACTGCGTTTTCAAAGAAAAATTGTTTTTTTTTTTTATTTTAGACACGATAATAAAAATGAAATATTATTTACATACTTTTGAAGGATAATAATACAAATTTAAGAAAAAATATATACAATTGTTTTTTTTTTTTTGATTTTTAAATATTCTTATGTTTTTTTCTTCCTTTTTTTTTTTTTGATAGTTTAAGTGTGAGGGGATATTTTTTTTTATAAGGATATTCTTAGGTTTTTGGTGGGGGTTTTTTTTTAATGATTTAAAATTTTCGTATGTTTTTTTTTTTTTTGTTTAGTAATTGTGTCTTAATAAAAATGTCATATAAAAAAAAATTTTTCAAAATTCATAATTTGGTGAGTAACTAGAACTCTACCATTTTTCAAATTCGTACCAAGGAATAACGCAGACACCAAAATTTTCTTTCAACTCTTCCAACTCTTTTACCACTTTGCCATTCCATCTGGCTTCACCTCCAATTCCAACTCCAAGATACTTTACCGAAGACCCTGCTTGTCCTTTAATAAAACCTGAAATCACCTTCATATCCATATACAAAGTTTTAACAACGTCAACAATCAATACTTTTAATTTCGCTTTACAATCACTTAACAATGCATCTAATTTAAATCCACATTGAAGTCTTAAATATGTGAGCGAAGATGGAAGCGATTTTCCTGAAATGATAGTGGATTCGGACGCCAAAATAGGATGAGATTTTGATGGTGTTTGAATGGTTAAGTGAGTGACGTTTTGTAATGTTTGGAATAAAGAGCTTAACAAATGGTCATGAAGGGACGGACAATAATCCACGAGAGTAAGATGTGTGATATTTGAACAATTCTCGATCATAGAATTAATCGTATCCTGCGTTATTATGTCCATTGTTAATTCCCGTAAGGATGACTTTCCAGCAGCTTGAATTATCAAGGAATAAATTATGGCATTCCTTTGTAATTTTGTAATATGTAATTTCTTTAAATTCTCAAATTTGATTAAATTCCACAATTCATCAACGGTCGAGGGAGTCGTAGTTACAGTATTAGTCATGTCTTGGACCGTGAGTTTTCGACAATTTGATATTTTAAGATTTTCCAAATTCGTACATTTAGCCAAAGCGTACAGTGACAATGTCGTGATGTTGACTCTGTCTATTTCTACGGAGGTTAATGAACGAACTTGGGATTGTAATGCATGAATGATAACTTGGGAATCATTTTCATTTTCCACACCCTCTAGACTAAATTCTCTTAATCTATTCTGAGTAGTTATAATTGATACTATTGCTTCTACGACATCAGGATTACTTTCGAACATCGGGAGCTTGATATTCAAAGTTTGAATTCTTCTACATAATTTTGGAATTGTTTTCATTAAATTTATAGTGTTTTTCAACATGGGTTGTTGGAAATAATCAATTTCGAGCTTTGTAATATTTGATAATCCTGTAAATCCGAGAGTCGGAGTGATTTCAAGAAGAGGAGAAAGCTCTGGAATGTCATCATGGCTTGGAATTTTATCAACCCTAAAACACCTTAAATTTACCGAATTTCTTAAAAATAATTTACACAAAATTGAAGTCATTAAGCTTAATTGTTCGTCCATTTGATTCATTTGACAACCGAATTCAATAGCGCATCTGTGAATCCAAGATTGTACAGCCATCTCCAATTTCACAATTGAAAGTTCTTGTAACATCATAGGATAATTGAATAATGGTTTTTTTTGGTTTAATAATTCCGATATAAATTCGGCGTCATAAGAATTTTTAATTAATAGATCCTTAAGGTCAGCTTTTTCGGCATCATTGAGTGATGAAAGGTAAACTAACATGATCTTGTACATATTTTCAGGGTTCTCAAGAGTAAAATTATCAAATGGACGAGCCCATAAGAAAGGGATTACGTTGCGACACCAATAACGGTTTATGAGTAAAAATGGGTGCAACGCTTCTCCTTGATCAACGAGGTGTTGAAATACTTGATACATACATTCGGTAGGAAGGGTTGGTACCATTAACGGTTTCTTAACTTGGAAAAGGTTTATCATGAATTTCATTAATGGATTGTCTGACATCTTCGAAAAATCGTTAATACCTTTTTTTTTTTTTTTTTTTTAAAGAACAAAAAAAAAATACAAAAAATATTTTTCGAACTTGTAATTTTTGGGAGAGAGATTGATGAAGTATTTATAGAAAAAAAGTTTATTGAACAAAAGTATTAAAATTTGTTTAATAATATTTGCTGCCAAATTCGGACAACATTTTAGGCGTCAATTGTTCCCATTCTGAATTAGACATTACGTTTAAAAAAAATGTAAAAAAAAATATGATTATATATTAATACTCATGTGTGACATTGATGCATAGTAATCTATAAATAAAACGGGTATTATCATATCCATATTGCCACAAATCCGTTTTAAATAACAGTTGTGATATCAACCGACATGACATTGTTTATCAATGCGTTTAAAACATAAATAGTAACACTCAATGAGACGTTGACATATATACATCACGATCGAATTCGCCTATTATATTTTCCCTTTAGCATTTACCGTAATACAATCCAAGTGACCACGCATATATCAATCACATATTGAATACGTATATTGAATACGAATATTGAATACGTATATTGAATTATATGCAATTGTTTATCAAATATTGTTTACGCAAAGCGCAAATTTACCAATTAATATAATTTTATTAAAATGGCTAATGTAGGATGGCATCACTAAGAATAAGGGAATTTCTCGACCGAAATTCCACATCAACTAGAACAATATGTTTCATTCTATGCATATCCTCTATATGCACCAGCCACTTTCTACCAACAATAGAGTCTTAGTGCAGGGAGTAAAATAGATCATTATGGAAACTACAATGAACATTTACTTTTATGGATTATTATTTCGGCATACTTTATTTCCTTATTGAGTTAGATCGAATACGTAATGTTATTTTAATTTTTAGGTGCTTACTTAAGGTTGTGACTTACCTGAAAAGGAACAAACTACATTTAGAACCGAAACACATTTTGTGGGGAAATTCTACATAGCAACGTGTTTTCTAAAGGATATTGATGTACGTACTCGTGTATGTACGTACTGTACGTACGTATCAATAATCTGTTACCACACAATGTCAGCGTTTATTCCTACATACATCTAGCTAACCTATAATTATTCTAGTATTTTGAATATTAACTTTACTATTTGCCTAAACAAATTTGCACCAAATTTTAGATATTGTTAAATAATTCAATTATTATCAATGACTAAATCTTTTTTTGTTTTTTGATTTACATAAATCCATTTAGTAAAATTAAAAGAAATATTAAAACATTGCTGCATGGCCCATGCCTGTCAAACTTGTTATGCACTAGTAAAAACATATTGTGTTACGTTTGTTATAATTTAAATTTAAAAAATGATTTCCTAGGAAATATATTCCACGTATAACGATACATTCTCAATTTACATTTCATCTGACCTGCCGTCTTGTGATCTCTCATCCGCATGTTGACTAACCAATAAATAATTTACCACAAATCCATCAGATTTTTTTTCAATTTCACCATCCCGACCATCATCATCACTTTCCATATTATCAATGTTATCTCTCATCGTTCCATCGTTCAAATTTACTGATATATGTCCACCATCTATGAAACTCGAATTTCCACTTGGAAATCTTCCTAGACCTCCATCACCTCCATCCATTCCATTCCTACCTTCTAAAACATTTCTGCTTGGTTCATCTTTTTCTTTATTGCCTCTTGAATTGTCACAAGAATTTTCATTCGTTACATCACCAATAATCTCATATTTAGGTTCCCCATCATTCTTACCCGACATCCAATATAAATCAACCATTAAATTTACAACAAAAAATACAAAGAATGCTATCGTGATTTGAATAAGTGCATATGAAAATGCATCGATGCCATTTGTAGAAAGATATAGAATTTGGTCTTCGTGTACACCCATAAAGAGAAGACCGGAAACTATCAATAGCTAATTAAAAAAAAAAAAATATATATATATATATATATTAAACTTTAGAGAATAATGTCAAATCAAATCAATATTGTTATTCAAAAAAACTTACAAAAGGACACAAACTCCTGAATGGCGTAATTGGTTTCTCTACCACCAAAAAACAAACTTCTATCAATCTTGCAACACCTGCACCCATTAGAGTAAATCCAAACAGTCTGTGAATTTCTGATGATATGTCTAATTGTTGAGCTTGTTGACTCAGGATGTAGCCGGTTAATATTATTATTAACGATGGAATTAAATTTCGTGTTGCGTTTTTACGGGATAGGTAAATACCGAGTAAACCTCCTGACCACCACATTATGCCTACAAGTGTATGCTAATTTGTATAATAGATAATGGTTAAATGGAAATGAAAATTGCTAAGTCATAAATGTCTGTAAAAATTGCAACGTCATAAATGTCTGTAAAAAAAAATTTGGATCAATGCATACTTGTACATCACCGGAAGTCCAACTCTTTATGAAAAAAATGTTAATAAATTTATTGATATCGTTCACCATTTACATTGTCAAATACATTATCAAATACTTACTGTGCCCCATCTAAAAACATTATTGACATTAGAAATTATTAGAAAGAAAATTTTAAACATCATTCTAATTTCAGAAAAGAAATTTACCTATGTTCCATAAACGTATTTATAAATCCCCAAATCATAATAACCCAACTATCATAATAATCTTGTGATTTTCCTTTACGACGTAACCATTCTGTAGAAAATCTCATGACGAGTATTAATAATATTCCATGTGCCATAAACGAAGAGCCCTATAACATATACATCAAGCGATTATTTATTTATTTATTAAAAAAGATTAATCAATCTAAAATTGGATTATATATAAATTACCATGATAAAATGTGCGAGACATTGACCCAGTTTGTTTCCCCTGTTGAATTAAAATAAAACTGTGAATTAATGTATAAAAAAAAGACTTGATCCTTTTCATTCTCTCTTAACTTACCTACACCATCCAGTAGCAGTAATAACACCCAAAACAATTTGTATATATCCAACAACTGGCATACAAACACCAATCACTCTGTGAAACTTAACACTCATAGGCCTAATCCACTGATGTGCACCATCTTCAAGATGGCATTTCAGATATAAACCAAGACAAACTTGTACCATTAGTATAAGCATAACGTAGGTAGCATTCGAAGAATGTGCTGTGTCGCTGGCAAATTGACGACCTTTGTGAGCGTGGCCAAGAAAGTAACCTAATGTAGCTACGAAGGTACCGATAACTTGTACGCCAACATGGTAACGAGAACGGGAAAGGCCTAATACCATGCCTTTCGTGTAACAAAGTGAACATTTAAAGAATGTCAATTTAACTGATAACGGTAACTTTTAATTAAAAAGTTTAGATGATCCTATTGATAGTAAGTACCACATACCAGTTGGAAATATAATGCCAAAGGCTAAAGACATGAATATTATATGAACCCAAAGGGTTCCATCGATTGGATCATCTGTTGCTCCGATATCACCTGTTAAATTCTCATCATGTTCATGAGCAACTATTGTTGGGACTATTAATAATAACCAAATAGTCAATTGTTGAGTTATCGAAAAGAAACCCATCGATTATTCAATCGATAAAAAAAAAAAAAAAAAAAAAAAGATTCATAAAAAAATTTCTATCTTGCAAAAATGATCATCGTTATCATCTTATTTATACTAAATTATTTGGAAGGCGACTATGGTGTCTATTCAGAACATTGGTTCATTTTTCGATACCACTTTATGCTACTTATGAAATTCGTGGCTTTGTCAAAAACCAAAAGTAAAATGGACTTAATATACTCAAGTCACATGAAAATCAAGTATCAAATGTGGCTTATGAAACATCAAGACTGCAACTTGCTATTTGATTTTTTCATCAAATTAGAGATCGATACGTACAATGATTACAATGTTCTAAGCATTTAACTTGTTCAACTGTTCTCACAAGCCAAGATTCGATCAATCACTAATTTGATTCTCCATAAAATTATGTAACAATAATGATAAAGCTTAATATTCCGTTGCAATTGTAAATAGACAATCATGTTACACAAAAATGCTAATAGTTATCGTTATTGCTATCGGATGATTTAATTAAGACATGTTTATATACAAGAGTTCCAAATGTTTTAATTAACAATTAAAAATGGGTTGACATTAGAAATGTGCTTCGCGCGAGATAAACCTAGCATATATCTCATATATCGTGCAACTTTGTCTTGCATATTTACTAATTTTACTACAATGTAACCTCGACATAACGAGGATTTGGATTATCTATATTTCGGTATACGAACTTATATATACAATTTTATAAAATTTTCGGTTTACATAATGTGCTTCCGATACAAGAATTTATATATTTGAAGTGTGTTACACAATGTTTCGTTATTTCTATAAATATTTCGCTTTTTTAAGGTATTTGTTATATCAAAAACCCTAAATTAACAGAGAAACCGTCGATGTTACACGACTGATCCTTCACCCGATGTGCAACATATAAAAAAGTTATTTTACCATACCAGATCATTCCGCTACGTAGTACATGTTATGATCATAATCCCACACTATTTTTATTATAATAAAATGGTGTTATAATCATAACATGTACTAACGGAATGATCTGGTATTGTAAAATAATTTTTTTATATGTTGCACATCGGGTGAAGGATCAGTCGTGTAACATTGACAGTTCCTCCTGTTCCCTAAATTTGATTTTGAATTCAAAATTGTATTACAAATATATAAATACAAATTTTGAAGTTTAATATTTAAAATTTTTTTATTTGTTACAAGCAAAAATGGTGATTATAAAGAGATGATTGTATAGTGTCCATCTTATACGTATAATTGCATAAATAGCCTGTTTTCACAATGAAAATTGCTATTTCCACCGCACTCCTTGAATGTGTGCTAGGTTTGTGGCGCAGATTTACTGAACTACGAATCAGATTTCACGTAACACGATCAAGAAAATTCAAAACAAATGTAATCGCTTATTTCTCGAAATTCTACATAAGAAACCAATTTTGGTGTTGTTAACCCCTGTAATTTAGCATCATGTGATATTAAGCGGAAATGTAACATTAATGCCAAGAGTGCTAAATCATATGGGCGGATTTGACGTATATGATGATCATTTGAAATGTGACAAAATCAAAAAAAACAATAATTTTGCCCAGTAGCCAGCATTATTCGGCTCGGTTTATAGTTATTTCCTTTTTAGATCACCTCGCGGAAACCTTGCAAATCCAAAAAAGGAAATCAAAATAAAAACTTGATTGGTTTAAATTCAGGACAATCACAAAATTGATATGCAATTCGAAAATATCACATTAATGAAAATGCGTTCAATCCGCCCATATGCGTTACAAAACAATCTTAAATGTGATCAAATGATCTGCAAGTTTGACCAGAATTAT